GCCCCTGGCTGGGACAGGACGTCTGGAGCGTCTTATTGTAGCAGGAAGGGAGGGGAATGGGCTGGGTGGCCCCAGAGCACCCTCCAGGTCCAAAGGGGTGGCTCAGGAGCAGGAGCCCTTGGGTCAGAAAGGCTAACTCCTCCATTGTTGTCCTCCCTGCCCCAGCTTTATGTCTTTAAGCAAGGTACTGAACCTCTCTGAGTCTGTTTTCTTGAATTTAAATTAGAGACAGCAAGAGTACCTACCAAATAGGGGTATTTCTGAGGATTTAATGGGGTAACGTAGTAAAGCACGTGGCACAGTGTGTGGCACACAGTACATGCTCAATAAGTGCCAGCTGCTATCATTAGTGCCATCACAATGTGAGAAGTGGAGGTTGAGGAATAGCTATTACCCAAGGAACCCTCTCTGCCCGAATCTTCATCTTGGAACTCATTTCAAGCCCATCAAATGCTGAGCAGCGGGGAAGGTGTGGGCGGGAGGAATGTACAGAGAGAAACTGAATTCTAAACCAAACCTGGTTCAGCTCATCGCCTATCAGGCAGGCAGCTCCCTCAGCCCAAGGTGGTCCCTGGGCTCCCAGGAAGTGCAAGTAGCCAGAGGACAAGGGCCCTGGCAGCTCTGGGTTTAAACGGAGCCTCTCAATGATGGCTTAGAACATTCAGGAAGCCAAGGTCGGGCGGACAATCCCAGCAGGGATGCATCAGGTCCCCGCCCACTGTTTTAGGCTGGAGGATGCAGGGATGGTCCTAGTGACTAGTCAGCCCCACTGGAAGCTCAGCTCCAAGCATTGGAAACAGAGGCTGAGGTGGGCCATGACCAAGGTGTTCCTGATACTACAGGAGCCAACCTACACAAGGCGGCACCTCGTCACACGCTAACCCTGAGCCCATATACCCTGGGCACCAGTGTCCCCAGGCCCACCACCTCTGCCAGGCTGACTCTGTTTCAAGCCTCACCCCAAATACCATGTGCTTTGAGAATCTTTCCCTAATCTGCATACAGAGATAGCACCTCTTTATCTGCTCATCCTGTATTACAGCACTTGTTTCATTATTGTGAGACTGACTTCCCGCTCTGGCCAGTGTGGCTCAGCTGGCTGGACACCCTCCTGTGCATGGCGCAACCGAAAGGTTGCTGGGTGGATTCCTAGGTCGATCCACGGTCAGGGCACATGTCCAGGTTTTGGTCTTGATTGATCGATCGATCACCGACCGGTAGGGGACACGCAGGAGGCAACCAATTGATGTTTCGATCTCACATTGATGTTTCTCTCTCTCTCTCCCTTCCTTTGTCTCTAAAAATCAACAAAAAAATCTTTAAAAAAGAGGCTGATTCCCCCAACTGAATAATAATTACAGAATAATATACTTATATAGTACTTACTATGCCAGGCACTGTTCTCAGCTCAATACATGTATTAACTCATTTAATCCTTATAACACCTCTCTGAGGTAGGAAACGGAGACACAGAGAGGTTAGATGACTGGCCCAGGACCACCCAGCTGTAAGTGGTAAAGCCTGGATTTGAACCCCAGGTGTGCAGCTCCGAATCTATATGCTTCCTGTGAACCCCTGGAAAACAGGGGCAACATCTGATTTGTCACTTTGTCTCTAGCATCTAACACGGGTCTGAGCACCCAGTAGGCGCTTTGAAAAGATGGGCTGATTAAATAAGCCAATGCCTGGTGACTATTCTAGCCTCTGAGCTATGGGACTGAGAGACCAAGGCCCTCAAGGCAGTATATGGTGTGGGCGTCCTTACACACGCTCTCAGCAATCCCAGCACACACTGCTCTGTCCTGGCTGGTTGTGTCTTTGCTTGTGTGCCTCTTGCCTTCTGATTTTTATTTCTCAGTGTATCCTTTGTTCTCCTCCCCGACTGTTCCTGGCCACTCTCCCCCTTTCATGCCCCATGTACCCTCCGTCCACTGTTCTTGTCCCTCTCTGTAGTCCTTGCAGGCTTGACAGCTTCCCGCCCCCATTCTCTGCCTTGGAGCATTTATAGAGTACAGGCTTGTCCAAGGAGGCTGAGGACCCCAGTGACATTGCCTGTTAGATGGGCCATGGATGAAGTTCCTAACCCCTGGCCCTCAATGAAACAGCAATTTCCCATCTACTTGGGGTCAAGGTATGGGTCGGGGTTGCCTGCCTACAGCTGTCACACATCTGTGCAGCACCAGAAAGACCAATGCTCCGCTCCCCCTCCGTCCTCCTTCGGGGTCCCATCTCCTCCAGCAAGCCTTCCCTGATCCCTCAAGAAAGCATTAGCCAACCTTATACCTTCTCATGTTCTAACTGAGGAGACAAGGCATGCTCCTGAAAACCCAATTAAAATGTAATCTTCAGATAACCGTACCACTTACCAGATGTCACAGACATCCGGGGGCCAAATGAACTGCAGGCAATCAGTGATTTCAAAGCGTAGGCCTACGTGACCGGAGGCAAGTGGCTGATTCTCTGTTTCCTCAGCCATACCAGCCAAGCAGGGGATGGTAATCCAGGCCTTAGGAGTTTGTCAAGAGGATTGAACGAGATCATTTTTGTAGAGCTCCCGACACACTGCTGCTTAGTAGGCACTCAATAATCTATTTGTGTCTTTCTCCCTCCTCGTCTAAAGCATTGGACTTCTCTACTCAGCCCTCCCTGATAAACGGTAAGATAGGAACTGGTCCGCCCTTTTAGGTCAGAAATGCCTTAAGGACAGGCTCTGTAAGCTTTGTGGTACCTGGTATCTTGTACGGCGATGGGCCTGCCATGTTAGAGGTCACCCAGCATGATGATGACAATTCACCAGGACTGTCCACGCTCGCACCCCTCCCACCGAGCAGCGGATCTCTGAAAGAGCCTGGTGGGCACACAATAATCACCAGGGAAGTCCAGGCACAAGCTCATTCTGCCCTGAGACATGGGGGTTTGTCTAACTGCCGTATCCTCAGCTCCTAAAAGAGTACTAAGCACATAGTACTTAGTACTCAATAGTGCTCAATAAATTGTCGATGGGAGGAGTTTTGTTTAAAAATCAACCGATTTTCTTTTTCCTTTCAAATAAAAAAGAGGGCCCAGGAGAAGCGAGTGGCAGGATACAGGAGGCACGCCAGGGACACGCAGCCGCCAGGCCCACCAGGCCCACCAGCCCTGGCTCTCTTCTACAAAGGGAACAGCAAGCGTGTTCCCACCATCAGAGCGTCTGGAGCACAGAGCCCGTGCCTGGCTCGTGGTTAAGACTGCGGTTTATGGAGGAAAAGTGGGGGGGAGAATGGGGACAAAGGTGGCGACAGAGGCCTGGAAGGGAGGGAGGCAGAAGGCCACGGGAGAAGGGGGAGGGTGAAAGAAGAGAGAGTGCTGTGAGCAGCAAGGGAGACTCGGGGAAAGCACGCGAAGAGGGGAGGAGAAAGAGGAGGAAGGAGGGAGGCCCGGGGCGGGAAGGGGAGTGGGGAACCAGTCTCCATCTGGGTGGAAATTGTCGTAGCAGACCTCCGGGTTCCCACTGACACTTGGGGGCTGGCTGTACTGGGGGAGGGTGTGGATTTGGGGGACTCCTAGACGGGTTGTTTTTGTCTGCCAAACCCCGGGCAGGTTTCAATCCCTGGAGCACTATGACCTCTAGTGCCATCCTTGCCAGAGGGACCCCCAGGCAGGAAGGAGGAGACTCAGTGAGAGCCAGCCCAGTGGGGAGGCAAAGGGTAAAGCCTCAGACCCCTAGCCCTGCTCTCCGCTTTCCGGCTTCTCCTCACAAGGGCACCCGGTCAGCCAGAAAAGTGGGTCAGGCACCCACATGTGACTTTTTCTGACAACAACAGGGCCCACCAGCAAACACGCGGGCCTCAGTGCCTGGTTGGCAGCCTTGCCCCTTCCCCCGGCCCAGCGCTTCCGCTGGAGGGGCCGTTAGGGCGCAGTGGGCAGTGGGAGCACCGTGGCCTTCTCATCCGGGAAGAGGACACTGGGCCAGAGCCTAACCCAGGCCGGCGGGAGAGGGCAGTTGGCCTGTGGCTGGGTTCCTGAGAAGATCCAGAGCTCCCCATGATGGTGACCAAGCAGGCCGGGAGCCATCTCTATGGCCCTGACCCCGAGGGGGAGTCAGTTCTCTCTACCGCCCGCCTCCTGGGCTCCAGCCCATCTCTGCCCTGCCCTCCCTCCCTCCGACCTGCCGGTCCGTCCATGAGAAACCGAGCGGCGCCCACAGATGGAATGGAGCTGCGGCAGCCAGGGAACAGAGCACAAAGCCCAGCTGACATGTTCCTCCCTGCTGTCTGATGGGGAGGAGAGCCAAGGGGAGCGCAACAGCACCCCGCGGCCCTCGCCCAGGGTCCAGGTCTCAGGCTCCTTCAGCGTCTCAGCTCAGCCCCCATCCCCCGGCACCGGGGGCTCCTCGCGGGCTGGGCAGCCAGAGCCTGCGCCGCCCTCGGAGGCAGGACAGACGGACCACCTGTGGCTGGCCATCCCCGCCCGCCTCCCGGGGGCTGCGGTGGGCCCAGCGCGGTCTCCCCGGCGCCGCTTCCACTCCCAGCGCCCCAGGCGGAGCCCGGGCGCCCATCCCCCACCCCGAGGTCCCCTCCAGGCTGCGGGCGGACCCTGCCCGCCCGGGAGGAGCCTGGCTCGGGGTTCCAGATACTTCGGACAGACACCGAGGCCCCCCTAGCACCCCGCACAGACACCCACCCGAGTTCTTCCCAGGAAGGGGGAGTCCAGGGTCCTGGAGCGCCGCGCCCCTGCCCGCCCCTGGCACGCCCTCCCTAACCTCTCCGCCACCTCTCGGCTCCCCGACATCTCAGGGCCCCTCCCTCTTCCCCAGCAACAGTTTGAGGCGGGTCAGGCCCCTGGGGTGGATGCCGCCCGGCGCTCCCCTCGTCCGCCGCGGGGGTCTGGCCCCGGGCAGTCGGCCACCTCCTGTGCGCCCCAGCCCCTTCCCCGGGCGCCGCGGCCGCCCCTCCCCGAGCCACCAGCTTCCGCCACCGCCCCCCCACCCCCCGCCCCCGTCAGCGGAGCCGCGCACTCACCCGCGGCCGCCCGCAGGTCCCCGCGCCGCTCGGCTGCAGCCCGGGCCAGGCCAGGGAGGCTGGTCCGCGCCCTTCCTCCGCGCGCTGTCGCCAGGCCGGCCAGGCTCGCCTTCCCGCCGCGGAGTTGTCCGGGGAGGGGTGCCGGGCAGAGTCCTGGGGGCGACGGAGGAACGGCGATCCGCTCGCCCACGCCTGGCGCCCGGGGATCCGCGCCGCCCTGCGCGCCGGTGGCCGGGGCTGCGGGCTCCGCCGGGCGCTCGCTCCGCGCGCTCGGCCAAGCGCGCCCCGCAGGCCCGGCGCCCGCGCTCTCCGCGCCGCCTCCGGCTCCGCCGCCCTCCTCACTGGCTTCGCCGCCGCTCCCCCAGCCTCCCCAGCCCACTCCGCCCGCCGCCTCCCCGTCTGCGAGCCACGCCGCCCGCTTCCAGCCCCGCTGCCGTTTTAACTCCTGCGTGGCCAGAGGTACCGTCTCCCCAGCACACACGCGCCCGCACGCTGGAGGGAGGAGCTGGGTGGGGCCCGAGGCTCAAGCTTGAGTGTCAGGGGCCAGCGTGTACTTGTGCCTTCAGGGCAAAGCTTGGCTGAAAGAAGTGGGCTCAGGCCTGAGTCTGAGCGGAGAAGGAAGGGGCAGCTCTTAAGGTCTCTCTCTTCCCTATTTGCAAAGGCCAATAGGTTCTAGGCTTCGGAAGTGAACTGGGGACTGAGGAATTCAGTGGGTGGGTTAGAATTTGTTCAAGGGACACAGGCACCTCTTATCCCAAAAAATGGAGTGGAATACCCCTGGGCTCTCATGCCCTTAGGGCACTGCCCCCTGAGCAGGGCAGTCACGGCATCTTGGATCAACACTCCCCCCCCCCCCCCCCCTAGCAAACAATGCCCTCTACTTAAGTATTAGGCAGGAACCAGCCAGCCCAACCCGGGGCTTGGCTTTGTGGGGTGCTCACCCCGCACACTGGGCGTTATGAACCCCTGGAAAGGAGAAGAGCTGGTGCGTGCTGATGGTGGGTGGTGGGCTGCTTCCCTGAGAAGGGCTGGGTCTGAGCCACGAGTCTGCCTTGGGAGGCTGGGCCTCCTGCTGGAGCTCGGGCTGAAGGCCGTGCTTTGGTGGGCCTGCCACCTGGACCCCTCAGAACGGACACCGCAAGCTCAGCTCCCACGCAGGCCACACCGCGGCTGGGTCTTGGCCAGAACCTACAGAACCCACAGCAGGGAGGTGTGTGGGGTGGAGTCCCGGATGTGGGGTGTCCTCTGAGGAAGGCATTCAGGGTGTCTTCTGTCCTCCAGAGCTTGAGCTCAGCGCCTCCCTCGGGGTGAGATCTGGACAGACGAGGCCGGCTCTCTGGCTCTGTCTTTTCCAAGGGCACAGCCAGGGGTGACTCCATGCCCAGAGGCTTTTGTGAAGTTGCCTTGAAGGTCCACGTGGTCTGTATGCACAGGTGGGGTCCTCACCTTCATGGATGTAATAAGCACACATGATGCTCCCACTGTACCTCTGAGGCAGCCCTGTGCCGCCACCCTCCACCCTGCGGTGGGGTATAATAGAAGGACAGTTGGAACTACAGGAACCAAATGTTAATGTTTCAAGGCCACGGAAGAGCCAAAGAAGTACAGGCAGCAAGAGCCACCGTGGACTAGGGTTATTCATAGAAGGCTTTATGGAGGAGTTGAGATTCAAGCTGAGTCCAGATGGAGGGCTGGGTTTTGAACTGGCGGAGAAAGCACGGACCAGGCTCCCTGGCAGGAAAGCACAGAGGAATGGGTCACCTGGAAGGGAGGGACAAGGGAGGGAATTTATCAGACCACCATTAGGTGCCGGGCCTTCTCACATCCCTCATTTAATCCTCTGAGTTGACTCTTACCCCCTGGAACTGACAGGAGGAGGAAGGTTCAAAGAGTTTAAAACCAACAGTCAGAATTTGAACTCTCTTTGAACCCACGGTGTCCTTGCCTCAACACCACTGTGGACATGCAGAGTGGAGCCGCTCACAAGGAGCCGCATTGCCCAGGCCGAGTTTAGCTGGCCCGCGCTCACATGCTTGGGGATGAAAGAGGCAGGAGGATGGGAGGCTCGGGCGGAGGCTGCGTAGGGCTGAGGGGGAGGGGAGCACTGGGAAGGGACGGCAATGGGACTTTGTGAGGGAGACCTGGTAGAGCTGTGACACTGTGACACCAATTGAGTGAACGGAGCCCAAACGTGGCTCCAAGCGTATGCGTGTGACTGCTTGGGTTCCTTGTCCATCGGTGGAGCGAACACAGCATCCTGAGGGCCAGGGTCACTGTGTACAGGTCGATCGTGAAAAGGGGGAATGTTACCACTCCTTTTCCAGCTCAAGAGCCTGGGCTCAGGACTCCTGTGCCCCAGCCTCCCAGCCCCTCCGCACAGCCTAGTGCAATGGTTGGCAAACTCATTCATCAACAGAGCCGCAATTTGCCGACAGCTGGCTTAGTGTATCTTAGTTCCCAAACAGTAAGTTTCGGGGGGTGGGGGGTGGGGAGCAAAGCCTGTCCTACACAGCATCAAGGCATGACCGGTAGGTGCTCAGTACCTGATTGTTGAAGAATAAACGGGATAAAAGCAAGACCCTGTAAGACACGTGCTAGGCGAAGGGCTGGGGGATTGCACTGCCCGTGGGGAGAGAATGGGGAGACCGTCTCTTGAGCTGACTCCAAATCTCTCACAACCCAATGGGACTCAGGAAAGAGCAAGAATTTTGCAACCCTGCATGTCACTTCCTCTGTGTGGCCTCGGGAGAAGTGCTTAGCTTCTCTGAGCTCCAGTGCCTTCCCGCGTAGAAATATTAATTCAAGTAAGAGCGGTTAATAATTGTTGAATATCCACTACACGTAAAGCATGATGCTAATCACAATTATGCATGAACTCATTAAGAATTTCGCCAACCGCAGGACCCTAGAGAGAGGAGGGGGGAAAGGTGTGCCATTTACCTACAGAATGGAGCTGAGACCTGAACCCAGGGCTAGCTCTGCTGGTGGAGGCTAAGCACCACACGACCCTGCAGCACTTCCTGGCGATGAGGGTGGCAATCAGGCTGCTGATTCATACTCCCAGGATGGGTGTGGGATGGCACAGGGTACCAGGGTCTGGCAGGGAGCAGTGTCTGGCACATGGCATGTTCTTCTCTCTCCAATTATGCCATCATGCTGAGCCAGGTGCTTTTCTGGGGAAAGATGGGGCCTCACTTCAGCCCTTAGGAAGCTCTTAGGTAATGGCCCAGAGGATTTAGTGGCCCCGTTACCTACCTTTCTCCCTCCAAGTTTAATCGCTAGGGTTAGCCATGCATAACTTCCTGCCAGGGAGCCTGGATGCTAGGATTGCACACCCTTACAAATGATCCTCGGCTCAGCTCCACTTGATTCTTTAATGTAGAGTCAGACGCTGGGCTAGCAGGCACGCTGTTTGTGGGGTGGGATGGGGGGCGGGGGCAGTGAGGGGAGGAGGGCTCTGGAGCCTGGCACAGGAGCCAAGTCAGAGAAGGGAGGCTGGGGATGGGGTACCACCTTCCTCAGTGGACCCTCTACTGCTGGATGTAGCCTCTGCCCAGTCCCCACCTCTGGAGGTCTTGGATGGGGCCTTTGGAGTCACTAAGGACTATTACCCCCCCTGCCCCATCCCCAGTGACCCATCTAAGTAGAAGATGGCCCTAGAGCAGTGGTCCTGAGGCTTAAGCACCTTAGAGTCAGTGTACAGATGCAGATCCACCGGCTACCCCAGAGTCACACTCTGCAGTTCTGGAACTCTGCACGCCGGCAGACTCTCCAGGGGCTTCCGGCTCAGGAGCCTGGATGAGCCCTGCTTTGGGAACACGCCGGCCTGCGGTGCCCATCGCCCTCTGACCTCTCCCTGTCTGGTTCAGTGACAGCAGAGCCCGGACACTCGCTCCTAGGGAGAGAACACGGGGTTCCTGCCAGAGGCAGGTTCATGGTGAAGTTGATGGAGCGTAAGCTGTAGGGTGGCTCACTTGTGGGGCTTAGCGGAGGGCTGGCCATGAGGTCTGGGAGTCATGGAGCGTTCTATATAAGGGAGGAGAGGCTAGTTTGCAAACAGGGAGCATTGCTGGTTGAAACTGGACGAAGAGATGTCACAAGGAAGGGATGTAAATTTCCAAGGCTGGTGTAACTCGGGATTTTTCCCGTTCTAAAGAAACATTACTATTGGACCTAATTTCGTATTTGTTCTTTTCCTTCAGAGGGCCCCCCCAAACCTGGAGCTTGCCCTGGCCCTGCCCTCAGGGAGCTCCCAGCGTCCACAGACAGCCTTGGGCCACAGCGAAACCAGCGAGGCAGGAGGACACTGCAGATGGCAGAGCGGCAGGGAGTCCTCGCGTTCCTGGAAAAGATACTGCAGGTAAAAATGATGTAAGCTGAGTCTGTTTTTTGCCCAGAAACAATGTGATAACGGAAACTACATTCCTCACCACGATCCGGGTGCCCAGATTTTTATAGGAATAAGTGCAAACACCATAAACACCATATTTATTCAACTGTGACGGATACACCTGTACTCTGTATTTGTTAAATTAAACATGAGTATATAAAACAGCGAAACCGGGCAATATGGCAACCAAATCCCATGCTGTTTGGTTTAATGTATTCAAAAGATTCCTGGGAGAAATGCTATTTTGGGGGAGTGGGTAGAGGGAGCCCCGGAGAGGGTGGAGGCACCCACTTCCATCCTTAGAAAACCTGTATGAGCAAGAGGGAGACTCCCAGGGTTGGATCTGGGGGACAAGGGTCTTGTGTCCCATGGCACACCTGGAAACATATCGAGCCAGGCAACACCACGTGGGGGTCCAAGTGGCCGACTCTGACGTGCTTGTCTCTGAAGTCAAGAGGCTGCCTACGCACGGGAATGGGCCATGGGAGAGGGCTTGGGGAGCGTGGCGTTGGAATAGGATGATCTGGGGTGGCTCTCTGGAGGAGGAAGGCTGTGAGAAGATACTTTGAAGGCAGGGGAGGCGAATGGCTAGGCTTCCTGAGAGGCCAGTCCCAGGGACCCTCGGGGACCTTTTCAGTTGACCTCTGAGCCACCTCACAGTCCGCCAAGAAGCCTTTGTCCCTAAGTGCTCATCACCGACCGTCCATCCATTTCAATGTTCTTCACACTGCAGGTGGAGACCTGTTAGTGGGTTACAATAAGAGCTATTTTTTTTTAGAAAATGAACTAGAAGAGGATAGAACATCATATTTTTGTTCCCGTTTCGTGTACACATATGGTGTCCTGACGTGTGCTGTTCAGTGTATTTCTCACCACGTGTCTCCAATCAAACCTTGGCTATGTATTCCCAAAGCCTGCCAATGAGAGACACAAGGGCTACCTCACGTGTTGGAAATAAGATAT